AGCAGGGAGCCCGATGCGGGACTCGATCCTGGGACTCCAGGATCATGACCTGAGCCGAAGGCAGTCGCTTAACCCACTGAGCCACCCAGGCACCCCTACAGTATATTTCTGATGCCACCTCCTGCTCCAGGCCACTACCAAATTACTCTCTGTTAAAAAAAAAAAAAATTGTAATTGTCTTTTCAGCACATTGCATATAAATTGGCATTGTTTTGAGGGTCATCCATGTTGTAGCCTATGTTAGTAGTTTGTTCCTTTTTATTCCTAAGAGCATTTCATTGTATAGATATACCATATTTTTTATCCATTCACCACTTGATGGTATTTGGGTTTGTTTGGGTTATTTCTACTTTTATGAATAATGCTGCCATGAGTATTTGCATACAAGACACTCATTTTTAAAACAAATGCCTTAATGGGGCATAAGTGGATAAAGCGATTTTTTTTTTCTTTTGTTCAGAAATATTGTTCCAGGGGCGCCTGGGTGGCTCAGTTGGTTAAGCGACTGCCTTCGGCTCAGGTCATGATCCTGGAGTCGCGGGATCGAGTCCCGCATCGGGCTCCCTGCTCGGCGGGGAGCCTGCTTCTCCCTCTGACGCTCCCCCCTCTCATGTGCTCTCTCTCTCTCTCATTCTGTCTCAAATAAATAAATAAAATCTTTAAAAAAAAAAAAAAAGAAATATTGTTCCATTACACAGGAATTGGGATAATGAATCATTTTAAAATATGTGCTAGGAAAGTGTTAACTAAAGTAAAAGCTCAGCAGAGGATATAACTTTTCCTTTTGAAAATAAGTTGAAGACCACAAAATAGAAAGGATACATAAGCCTTTTCTAATCTTATATTCTCCAATTTTTCTGTCTTTTAGTGTCCTTGAAGTGGAAAAGTCCCTGGTATTAGCTGAAAAAGGCAGTGTAGAGGACAAGGATAATGAGGTAGAGTTGTTGACTGCTGGGAAAAAATTCCGTATCTTAGCAACCATGAACCCTGGGGGCGACTTCGGAAAAAAAGAGGTAAAATTGTGTTCCTGAAGCATAATTTTTTTCCAGTTTTTGACCTCAGCTCACTGGCAGCTATAAATATAATATGTAAAAATGCATTTGGAATTTTATATTGGGTAAAAATTAACCTAGAAAGATATTTTAGAATTATTACAAAGTTGAGAAATTCTGACATAATCCTCATTTCCTTGTTTTAATATCTCACTGTGTGTGCCTGAAATTTCATTGTTTCAGTCACTTTGCCCAGCTCTTTACATATGTTACCATAACATATTCTCACAAGAACTCTGTGTGAAAGTTATTTTCCTACTTTCATGGATGAGAAAGTTGAAACTGAAATTTAATCTTAAACTCTGTTTCTGGAGTCTCCTCTCTTAAACATGAGTGTGGCTCTGAGTGTTTTAAAGTGACAAAAATGTTGCAGCCAGGAACCTCTTCGGGTTTTGCAGGTGGAGCGTATCTGTTCTCTCCAGCGGTTATGTGGGTTACCCTCAGACTATTGGTAAAGGAAAAGGTGGAGAGCAGCCTTTTGTTCAGAAGGTGGTGTTAGGATCCAGCCAGGATCCAATACCCTGAACACACCTTGGCTTTCAGGCTTGTGAAGCCTCTCAGTGGAGAAGTCTGTGTTGTGTGTGGGATCCTGGTCTGTTAGGAAAATGGTGATGTGGTGATAGGTCAGGGACAATGAGAAGAAACAGGGGTTGTGAATGAAAGTAGTTAAAGTTCTTGGTAACTTGGTGGGTCCCTGAAATGTGAACATGATGCTTCAGGCCTGATTTTCCTCTGTAGCGTAATAAAAAAGATTATCACTATGCTTCTTGAAATGTTCTGAAGAGAAGAAAGAAAAAAATAAGAAACACATCACAGCTTCAAACATAATATGACAAGTGGTTCTTTGGCAAGTGAGAATAGCTTAGAAAGATCTGATTTCAAGGTTGTGTGTGTTAAGGTTAGTTTAAGTTAGGATAGTTCAAGTTTTTCTTAGAAAAAGATTGCCAACTTTTACCTAAGGGAAGGTTCTTTTTTGTTTTTGCCTCCCTAGCAGGCAGAGTGAGGGTAAGATGCCAAAGACCAATGGCACTGCTTGTCTAGGACAGCAGCAGGGAACACTCACACCTTCACTGGGTCTTGACTAAGCTGCTCCTGAGTATAGGCATTGCTGCTAGTCCTGCTGCAGTAGGCCAGGCAGATGGATGGAGTTTATCAAGTAAAAGGAAAGCAATAATAAGCTAATAGTTAACGTGCATATGTGGCATTGTATATGCTTGTTAATAGGAGTTAATTGACATAGGAGAAGGGTAAGAAGGGTAGGAGGAATCCATTTTCAGGGCGAAGGCCATCAAAGACTGGAAGGACAAACAATTCTTTGTTATACAGAGGTAAAATTGGAACCTCCTTAATAATTTCACTGTCCCCCTTTGAGCCACATAAAAGATGTTTTCTCTTTCTACTTCAGACAGCTCTCCCCTGTGGGACAACAGCTTTTATTTTTTTGAAAGCACTGGTTATGTAACTGAAGGTAAAGGAAGGGCCTTTGCTTAGGGGAAGTATTCAGGTTTGGGGGTCTCCCACTGGGGCTGGACTTCAACTTGCACCACCTATTCTATGACACCTTGAAGTTCTGCACTCTGTCTATAAAGAAAGTGATGGGAATACTGTCTTGGAGGTTGTGGTGGAGATGAATGAGATGACCTGTGGAAGGAGTCAGGATAAAGTAGGTCTTCAGTTGTAGTAGAGGTAATAAAAGAAGCATCTGGTATTCGTTAGACTCATCAGCTAATACTCTTTCAAAGGATTTGTTTTCTAGTTTTCCTCATAAGTATTACATTCAAATTGAAATTTTTGTTTCTTATAGCTGTCTCCTGCCTTAAGAAACCGGTTTACAGAAATATGGTGCCCACAAAGCACAAATCGTGAAGATTTAATTCAGATTATCAGCCATAATCTTCGTCCAGGATTGTCTCTGGGCAGAATAGATCATAAAGGTGAGAGCTTTCAGGTGGTAAACGTAATTCCCAAACTTCTGAAGCTAATGGAAATTAGAAATCATGTCTTAGAAAATAAAAATAGGTCTAAGATTTCATTTAATTAAAATCAGAAATAATACCAAAATACTTTTAAAATCTATGTTAAAGGTTTTTTTAATTATTTATTTAAAAGATTTGTTTTTGAGAGAGAGAATGCAAGTGCAGTGGGGGTGGGGGCAGAGGGAGAGAGAAAATCCTGAAGTGGACTCTCTGCTGAGTGTGGAGCCTGACAGAGGGCTCGATCCCATGACCCTGAGATCATGACCTGGGCCAAAATCAATAGTCCCATGCTCAACTGACTGAGCCACCCAGGCATCCCTGTCATCAACTAATTTATTAAAAATGTTCTGGGTGGCTCTTCCTCCCCCACCGCCACTTGCTTTCTTAGAAAAAAATAAAAAATTTTTCTTTTCATTATAAAAGTTTTCAAACATAAGGAAATAGAAGAATAGTATTAAAAAACTTCTGTATACCTAAAACCTAAATTTAGCAATTTTTAAGATATCTAGTAAGGGTCAAAACATTTATTATATGGTTCTTGTATTGAGCTAGATTGCTTTGATGTATACATGGATGTTTTTTTATTGAGGCGTAATCAACATGTAACATCGTATTAGCTTGAGGTGTATAACATGATTCAATATTTGTATCTATTGTGAAATGATCACAGTCTAGTTAGCATTCTTCATGATGTATATATATTTATCTTACAGGTTGAAGGGCTAAATTTAGAACCCAGCTCTGGTTTCAAACCTTAATACATAGTTTTTTGGATCATTTTATCTCTCTCTTTCTCTCTCTCTTTTTTTAAGTCTCTCTTAAATTAAAGAACGTATAAAAGGATATTTGCTTCTTTGAGTTCCAGACTCACCTGAAGGACTTGTAGAAATAAAGCTTGCTGGGCCTCCTACCTAGAGTTTTGGATTCAGTCCGTCTGAGGTGGGGCTTGAGAATTTGCCTTATCTAATAAGTTCTTAGGTGATGCCAATAATGTTGGTCCAAGGCCCATACTCAGAACTTCTTAGTTACCATGGTTGTGTGCTATTTGTAGTGCTGCATTTAATGTGAGAATTCCAGTTAAAGAAAAAGACAAATTATTAAGCAGGCATGGTTTATCTTTTGGCTCTGCTTTGGGGCCAAATTCTCCTTGGATGTAGCCTCTGTATCTCCTGTGGGCTCTGTACTCTTATCAGTGATTTGGATTGTAATAAGAATGGCAGAGGGGCGCCTGGGTGGCTCAGTTGGTTGGGCGTCTGCCTTCGGCTTGGGTCATGGTGCTGGGGTCCTGGCATCGAGCCCCGCATCAGGCTCTCTGCTCGGTGGGAGCCTGCTTCTCCCTCTCCTCCCCGCTTGTGCTCTCTCTCACTGTCTCTCTCAAATAAATAAAATCTTAAAAAAAAAAAAAAAGAATGGCAGAGAATGCAGCTGCCATTACACTGCCACATTGGCTCCATCACTAGTGGGCTTCATGCTTAATGGAGTGAACAGTTTCTCTACAGGGCAGTTGGCACTGCAGCCCCTAGGACTTCACTGAGCCTCACTGCTTGTCCTTAGGGAGCTTGTTTACTGTAAGCTTTGTAAAGCCTACATGGCAGCACCTTCTTTGGGGAAGCATTAGAGATCCTGAGGGAACAAGGAGAGTAAGGGAGAAGTGGCTCAATTTTTATCATCTAGAAATGGATCAGGTTGGCACAGCGTAAAAATGTTCTTAAAAACAGGGAACTAGATAAAGCTTTTATTTCCAAATTTTCTTTATAAAGATATGTAAGATGTAATGAATCTAATATTTCAACTAATTATGAATTCTAAATTGAATTCTGATCCTATTCAGAATACTTAAGATATATTCACTGTATTCTCTTAATATATAAACACCACTGAGTTCTTCTAACTTTCTCTAGGAATTTTTGTTCATAAATCTCAGTAGTAGTTTTATCTATATATCCCTAGTATGAACAAAACAGAAAAGATTCTATGAAATTGATGGGTTTTTTTGTTTTTTAAATAATGACCTCTGAAGGGCATGTGGGCTTTTTAAAATCTCCCACTCTGGGGCGCCTGGGTGGCTCAGTTGTTAAGCATCTACCTGTGGCTCAGGTCATGATCCCAGGGTCCAGGGATTGAGCCCCACATCAGATTCCCTGCTCGGCGGGAAGCCTGCTTCTCCCTCTCCCACTCCCCCTGCTTGTGTTCCCTCTCTCATTGCATCTTTCTCTCTCTGTCAAATAAATAAAATCTTTAAAAAAATAAAATAAAATCTCCTACTCTTATGACCAATACTTCTGAAGACATTGTGTTTTTGTTAAAATAACATGTTAAGAGCTATTTCCTTGAGTTTTGTTTCTAAAAGTAGAAATAAGGAAATTCATAGTTCTCATTGGTTATGGCCAGATTTTTCTCCATAAGGGTGGTCCCATTCACGGTGCTAACAGCAACTTAGTAAATGTACCTGCTTGGCATAGTCCTTCCAACATGGAGAAGTTTTATTTTGTTTGTTTGTTTTTAAATAGAATGAAATCCATTGTTTTGTTCTTATTACTTTAATGGGTAGTCTAAAATTTCATTTTCTTTAATTACTAGTGATGAACATTCTGTATGATTTACTTTATAATAAATACCAATCATTTTATCTTTATTTTTTAAGTACTTCTCTACACCCTACATGGAGTTCAAACTCAAGATCCTGAGATCGAGAGTCACATGCTCTACTGACTTAGCCAGCCAGGCGCCCCACTCATTTTACATATTAGTATTTATTATTACATTTATAACATGGATTCCTATTGTTACCTTTCAATATTTGTTATAAAAAATACATATGAACCCATCCACCTTACCTGATGATTTTCTGTCCAATAGTCAAGGTTTAATTATCCTCTAATAATGGATAAAGTTGTCTGTTAAGTCCTTGATTTCCTTCAAATTTATTCCATTCTGAAATATGGATCCAAATACTCACATTTAATATCTAGTTGCTGAAACAACATTTCTTTCCTCGTTGTGACTGGATTTTTTTCCCCTTCAGTTACCATTTTAAGTTCTTTTTATTTATTTATTTATTTATTTTATTTTTTTAAAAGATTTTATTTATTTATTTGACAGAGAGAGA